TATATATATATATATATATGTATATATATATATATATATATACATATATATATGTATATATATATATATATTATACAATCTTTTTATTTTATGACAGCTGAATATTACGTACTCTTTCGAGATCTTATCTACTTTCCTTACATGGCCTGTTGATACAAACAACAAAAAATTAATGCTGCTACAATTTCATACCTTACAAATCTTTTTTTTTTTTTTTGGATAACTACAAATTTATAGGTCTGTTTCTCCTATAAATAGAGTATACATTTCACATATTTCATCAGTAAACATCTATTTGATTCTGATTTTAGTTTTAGTATTGAAAAAATGGTTTCAAAGCAAGGCCTGCGCATTCTAGGTCTCTTGGTCATTGTTGTTCTGATCTCCACTGAAGTGGCAGCTAGGAACTTGGGTGAGACTTCCTCTAACTCTAGAACGTGTGATTTTGCATTTTGCTTTATTATTTTTATGATAAATGTGATGACACACATCGTTTGATTTTGTTCACGGTACATGTGTTTGCAGTTGAGGAGGTTGTTAAAGAGCAAAACGACGCGGGTGATGTTAAATATGACGAAAATCAAGGCGGTCGTGAGCGTTGTACGAATGGAGTGGGTCCCAACTGCTTCGGTATCCCTGGAATGCCCGGTATCCCCGGTTTCCCTGGTATTCCCGGTATTCCCGGAATCCCCGGTATCCCTGGTATGCCTGGAGCTCCCCCCGCCAGCAACAGCAAGAGTTAAATTTTCACAAATTCAACTATTAGTTGTAAATCTGGTTACTATTTTTAAGCATTTACTCCTTATTAGGAGTAACTTGGAATAAAATTTCTATTTTACCTGTCATAACATTCTCGTCTGTATGGTGTGAAGTGCAATGAGAAACAAGTAAAATTTATTAAAATATTAATGAAGTTGCTATTAGTTTTACTGGGAAAAATATATATAACATTTTTTTTTATTTAAAAAACTGGCCTTTAAAAATTCACATCACGTTTGGAGTGTAATTATAAATAAAAAATGGTTAAGATTTTATTTTTTTATTTTTTTAGTAAAAAGATTTTATTTATGTGTAACGTGGATGCGTCGATTGAGAACGATAATCTTGAAATTAATTCTGTGTACTATTAACAAAATTAAAAAATTTCCTTTATTCAAAAATATGATAAAATAAAATGACAGTAATCGTTTAGCAAGTGATTAAATAGGCAAAAACACCTTTCTAAAACTGTTGGGAAAAAAGAAATTCGGTTAAAATTGATTAGATAAATTTTTCTAAACTAATGCAGTCAAACATGTTACCGTTACTAAAAGGACTGAAGTCATATTAGTGTCACGTAGGCATTCCTGTCATCATAAAACTTCGAAAGACCATAACTTTTGACTCGGGTATCCAAATCAGATGAAATTTTCTTTATTCGCATAACTTTTTGAAATTTACGCAATAACACTTCATTTGACATATTTTATCTCCCACAAACAAAGTTCAAATTTGTAATAATGATAATACAATCACAAGAGCGTTTAAATCCAAAAGCTCTCGAGTTCTTTCTGAACCAACACTATAAGCTGCAGCACATGTCATCAATTGATATATTTTATCTATGTGAATGATGCTATTTAGGGCCTGTTTGGTGTGATGTATAAGGCTTGATAGTATAAACTTATACTATACGTTATGACATTTTCAGTTGTTTAGTGTAACCATCGTATAATATAAGCTTATAAATCGGAACCCCTTAATACATCAAAATGATGTATAACTTAATCAGGCCTAAGGGGGTGAGATTAGGACTAATAAGGGATTGATGTATTACTATTGCTTACAAGTACAATTCTCAAGAACCAATATATCATTTCAATATTAATATATTAAAATAAATTTTAAATATTTAAATTTTTAAAATATTGAAGAATATTATCTTATACAATACCATACCAAACGCTGAATAGTGTTAAAATTTAATCAGGTCTTATACTATCAGGCATTATTATATACTATGCACCAAACATGCCCTTAATTTCTTTTCTAGTTTTTCAACTATCCAACAATAACAAATAATGATAGTGGTTTTCTCTTTATCAATGTGTACAGGCAACAATGTTTCTTCTTACGAAAAGCCATAAGTACTGATGTTGTTGCTAAAAAAATCATTGGCCTCAGAGGCAAACAGTGGGAAAACTAGGCCAAGAACTCGATGGAACGTGCTACAACTCATGTTGTTGGTTTGGAAAGAACTCAGAAGCTTCTGGATTTGAACACTGTTGTGATTGTGGAACTATTATTGCAAATACAAACTATGTTTGTGGAAAACAAAATTTAAAAATGAGGTGTCATTACTTAGATCTCGAAAAGTTATGCGAAATAAAAAAATACCTAACTTGGATACCGGAGTAAAAAATTATGGTCTTTCGAAGTTTTACGGTGATTAGACTGCCTACGTAGCGCTGACATGACATCAGTCCCGTCAGAATTAGTGATATATTTGGCTGTATTAGTTTGAAAAAACTTATCCAATTAACCTTAATTGGACAATTATTTTGGCCAACACTCTTAGAATGATGCTTTAGCCGATTAAATATCACAGAACTAATACGTTATATATCTAAGCTAATTCTTTTGATTAAAGCAAATTAATTTTAAACAATTTTTCAATTAATATTTTTATTAATACAAGGTCAATACAAAAAAATTGGATTACCTAGTGATCCTTTTGAAATGACAGATTCAAATTATAAAATCTAAACATAACTCATATATATGACTTAAAAAAATAAAGAACTATGTACAAATAAATAAATAAAGAACTAATCAGTTCTTGCAGCTCATTTAATCCTTAGTTTTATTAAAAATGGGGTAATAGCTTAACTGAATCTCTTTGATTTTAAAGAATAATTTAATAACATTTTTTTAGTTTTAAAATAATACAAGAAAAATATAAAAATTTGGATCACAAAACCGTACGCGTTGCGCCTTAGGTGTCCTTAATTGGTAAGTATTCAATCGTTGAAAAGAAACACTTTATACTATTTTATAATTCAATAAGAGCAAGATAATTATAAAAAATTGAAACGAATAATGAATTAAGAAATCAATTTAAACAAAGTTTATCCTCATTTAAATAGTAAGGATAAATTTCGTTGGAGAAACTTCATAAAAACAAAACTGTCTAACAATTTATGGGAAATAATATTTGCACATTAAAAAATTTAAACCAGCTTTAAATTTTTTTAATAATAAATAAGAAAATTTATAAATTATAATATAATCCTACATTTTTTTTCCAGGAATAAACAAAGTATAAAAAAGATGTAATATTTTTTTTTTGGGTGATGAAAGATGTAATATTTCTTTCTGTACAACTAACATTACTTACGTGTTAGCTAATCATCAATGTGCCATTGATCACTAGTTATGACTAATATGATTTTTTAACATTTAATGATTTAGTAATACTTTTTTATCCATCTATTATAATTAAATAACCGATTGTATAATTAACCAAAAAAAAAAGCCGATTGTATATTTCAATAAATTTTTTACTGCAAACTTTTTTTTTAATTTTCAATTGAAAAATTAAATTTCCCTGTTAATATATCTTCCAATTACTAACATAAATCAAGGACATGGCCAATAATTTATACATGTGACATAATAGTTCACTGTATTATTATTAGTGGAGTTATAAGTAATTTTAATTTATTTATGTTCATCAATAAAATTAGATTAAAAAAATGAAATTAATATAATTAGATGATATCTTTATATATATAATAATTACCATAAATTCATTAAAATATTAGGTCAATAACTTTTATTAATGATTACACAATAGAGTAAGGAAAAAAAAATTTAACTAATTTTTTGTCACATTTATTAATATAATATATTTTTACATAAATTATTGAAATAATATATTTTGAAAACTATTTATTAAAATAATATAATTTAACCAAGTTTAGTTATGGTGTGTGAGAACTATAACCCAGATTTATAATCATCACATTTGATCCACCTTTGTATGATTAGGATCTTCTCCATAACATGCTCATGATAACTAACACATAAGATGATCTATTCCGACAAAAATAAGAGTTTTACTTGTTGAAAAAATAATAATTTGGAGATCAAAATGGCATAATGGTCATCTAATAAGACCAAAAATATAATTAATATTTTTTTTTTTGGAAAAAAAATGATGAGAGCTAATTTGATTGGTTTTGGCGTTGACCAGACAAGTACTGCATTTGATCAAAATTTTCAAACTTTTGTTATCAAAAAAAAAAAATTCAAACTTTTTTCTTTCTCAATTAAAGTGAAAGGTACTTCTGTCACACAACTCTGACGGGCCAATTAAAATGGGGCACTTTTTATGATGTATAATGAATTTTTTTTAATTCAAGTATTAATTTTTTAATGGAAATACGTAGTAGGTACACCGGATATACAAAAATACTCTGCAATTAAAGAAACTTAAAAGAAAGCATTTAAAGCAAAATTAAGTGTAAGTTAATTTTCCTAGTTGACTTTGGTGCTTGATATATTTATTATATATCATTTTTTATTCTATAACTAATGCTAGACAGTAGAAATGCAGAGTATTATATAAACTTTTGAGATCTTATCTCCTCCACGCCTGCCTATAAATAGAGTATACTTTTCACATTATTTTTCACATCTTTCATAAGCAAACATCTATTTGATTCAGGTTTTAGTTTATTACTGAAATAATGGTTTCCAAGGAAACCCTACGCATGTTGGGCCTCTTGGCCATTGTTGTTATGATCTCCACAGAGGTGGCAGCTAGGCAGTTGGGTGAGACTTCCTCCAACCCTAGAATGTGTGAATTTGTGTTTTGCTTTCTATTCTCACCAACTATAAACTCAACAAGGAGCTCTGACATTTTGTTCTTGTTTAACAATCTAGCCATGGTTCTTTTGCCTATTGATTGTGCAATTACTACTCAAATTGATAAGACTTGCGTTCATTAATCATAATACATGCATTACTATTTTGGTGGCAAATGTGATGATACTCATCGTTTGATTTGTTCACGGTTTGATGTGTTTGCAGATGAGGTTGTTAAAGAGAAAAAAGATGTCGATGATATCAAATTTGAACAAAATGCTTGTCCGAATGGAGTAGGTCCCAACTGCTTTATTCCTGGTTTTGGTATTCCTGGTTTTGGTATGCCTGGTGGTGGCATGCCTGGTGGTGGTGTGCCTGGCGGAGGTGGTTACGGTGGTGCTCCTGGAGGAGGTGCTCCTGGCGGTGGTGCTCCCGGAGGAGGAGCTCCTGGCGGTGGTGCTCCCGGAGGAGGAGCTCCCGGCGGTGGTGCGCCTGGCGGAGGTGGTTACGGTGGTGCTCCTGGCGGTGGCGCTCCTGGTGGTGGAGCTCCTGGCGGTGGTGCGCCTGGAGGAGGTGGTTACGGTGGTGCTCCTGGAGGAGGTGCTCCTGGCGGTGGTGCTCCCGGTGGTGGCGCTCCTGGTGGTGGAGCTCCTGGCGGTGGTGCGCCTGGAGGAGGTGGTTACGGAGGTGCTCCTGGAGGAGGCGCTCCTGGCGGCGGTGCTCCTGGTGGTGGCTTTCCTGGAGGAGGTGCTCCTGGCGGAGGTGGTTACAGCGGTGCTCCTGGAGGAGGTGCTCCTGGCAGTGGTGGTTACGGTGGTGGTGCTCCTGGAGGTGGATACGGTGGTGCTCTTGGCGGTGGTGGTTACAGTGGTGGTGCTCCTGGAGGAGATACTCCTGGCGGTGGTGTGTCTGGAGGAGGTGGTTACGGTGGTGCTCCTGGTGGTGGTGGTTACGGTGGGGGACATGGTGTAAGGGCTTAGTTACCATGTGGGGAATGGTTAGAGTTATCCCTAGCAAAAATTATGTCAATGTGTAATATTTTTTTTATTGTGTTTGGTTGTGCTTTTACTTTAACAAAAGCTGCTTTTTTTTTGGAAAAAAGTAATTTTGATTATATTTTTTTATTGTTTGGATGTTGGCTTTTGAAAAAAGCAAAAGCCAAAAAAATGATAAAATTTAACTTTTTTCAAAAGTTAAAATTTGTGACTTCTAGGAGAAGTAGAAGTCAAAAACAACATTGTTGACCATCGTGGACACATCTCACCCTTAATGCCTTCAACCTCTGAGTGCATGGACAAGGGACACCTTACCCAACCCTGTTCCATTCTCAGTTACCACAACCACCATCGTTCTTAGATTGATTTTGTCACTCTCTAATACATTTGGTTTCAAGAATCTAACTACAATTTGTTTTTGATAATCTTTCTTTATCTTCCCTGCCTTTCTTTCTCTCGTGGGAGAATCTACAATTGTTGAATCCTATCCACCTAAATCTTAAAATTTCAAGGGGCATCGTCCTTTGATACCCAAAAAAAGAAAAAATCTTTCAAATCTCGTTGACCTTCCACCACCAGAATTGAATTGAAATCAAATTTTCCATTAACAAACACGGATCGGTGACTTGGTTGAAGGTGAGGGCTTCAAACTCGTCGATGACAAAGGTGACTTGGGAGGAGAATGCGGCGAGGATTTTGGAGAGTTTCAAGTGCAGGTAGTAGTGAAGCTCGCGGGGAAGGTAGTCTCTAGCAAGGGAGCGGAGACGTATGGTGGTGGCAGCAACAGAGGGAGCGGTGGAGACCACTGTTTGAACAGTCATGGTTCGGTGATCAAAATCGGAATGTGGGAAGTGAAAAAAAAAGGGTGGTCTCCAAAAATCAAAGAGAGGACACAATAGACATTTTATACTTAAAAGGTGCTTTTTATTTTAACATCCAAATGATATTTTTATTTAAAATTACTTTTTAAATATTATATCCAAACACAAAATAACTTTGACTTTTTAAAAAAATTCTTTTAAAAAAAGAAACTCATAAAAAATTCTTTTTTCAAAAACTCATACAAACAGACCCTTAATACTAGTAGAAGTGTCTCCACCATGCTAGATTGTTTTCCCTTGAATATTAGTTATTTTTACTTTGGCTTTACAAATGTTTCTAAATTTATTCTTTCATTATATTTAATAACCTTCTCTATCACATCTATTATCTAGAATAAAAATCCACTGAACTATACAACCTTCACTGTCATATAAAGTTAGAGTCTAATTATAAACAAAGAATGATTTATATTTTATTTTACGGAGATATAATGTCTTATGTTGCATTGTCTCATGCAACACACACAAAAAATGGATGTAATCCACTTATTTTCTTTCTCTCTATTCTCTTTAGTAAGTCTTTTCCACTATTTTAAATGTAGCATGAGACAATTTATTTTATGTAACATGATAAACAATATCCCCTTATTTTATTGTATCGCGGATGCGTTGATTGAGAATGATGATCTAAAGTTAACTATGTGTTTTATTGACAAACTTAATTATTTTTTTAAAAGGAAAAACTTCAATTACCCTTGGTAAGTTTTCTCATAATCACTTACCACTTCCCTGAAATTTTGAATCATTTATACTCCTATCTAAATTTTTTTATCACTTTCCCCCTATCTTCATTTTCCATCCAAAACTAAGTTATCTCTGTTAATTTTTTTTAAAAATACCACAACTACCCTTAAAACCAAAAAAACACTAAACGTGAAAATGATTTAGAACAAAACCTATCAAGTGCAGAACCCACGTACAGTGCTTGCAAGAGAGTAAATTTTGGATGATAAAATGGCACCACATAAGACAGTGCCAGGTTATAAATAATTTGCACCGTGACTACAGGTTGGAACATCCTAGATAATCCAATAGAGCCACCCATATCATTCAACATGTATCCAAATGTGCAAGGACAAGCAAAACAAATAGGTATCCTTTTAGCTAGAAAGAAATTAATGAGATGAACCATGCACATTTGAATTACCATATAAAATGGAGGACTGATACAAATAATAGACCGCCATCTAGATAAGGAATTAGTATAAAGCATATGTCAATTCTACATAGTAGTATATTAAAACTAAAATAAGATGTATTAATCTGGATAAGGAATTACTATCAAAGCATACTTCACCTCGGGCTGTATTCATCTATGCATTAAATAACATGAGACTGAAGCAGGAAACTAAATGTGGAGGATGAGGATCCTAACTGCCTTCAATTAATATGTTCTCTTTTTCTAAAGTGGTCCTAGTTCCGACAACTAAGACCCAAATTTTTGCAATCTTAGAAACTCTTCCTTCTGAAATCTCAACTAAAGTAAAGGCTCTTGTTGTACCTTTTGCCTCTGGTGATCAATAAAGAGCACTTTCATCGTCCAAGCTTCTCTACTAGAGAGTTTGTACAAGTCAGAAGTTAAAGCTTCTCTTATTAAGTGTTTTTTTTTTTTTGGGTTTTAACGATAGTTGTGGTATTTTTTTAAAATTAACATAATTAACTTTAGTTTTTGATGGAAAATGAAGATAGGGGGTAAGTGATAAAAAAAATTTAGATAAGGATGTTGTTCGGTTCTATTAAACCGTATAATGATACCGGGTATGCGCTCAGAGATATCCTATGGATAGGTATCTTGGTTGGCTTATAGCCAATATCTCTATCACTGCGCACAAGCAATAGGCTTATAGCCGAGACGTGGGTGTGTGCACAGTGTGGACAGAAGTAGTAAATGAGTTCATAGTATGTACCTGGGGTCTTTAACCTCTTATTTATAAGGGTTACCTCTTGGGCTTGTGTAGATCTCTCAGTTGTAGTAGGATTTAACTTCCTTTCTGTTGGGATAGAGACTTTATCCTTAGCAGCCTTACTGTTTTATATTGTTAGGATAATTGGGTAGTTATCCTTTAAGGGATCCTTGGGTAGGTGGTTAGGATATGGAAATATTCCATAACAGTTGCCCCCCAGCCTGGCAGTTCAGAAGCTCGGACTGCTGGGGTGCCTAAGTTTGATTGATAGGTCGACCCTACCGAGGTACTATGATCCTGCCTTGAGTCTGGTGCGACTACCTCTTATTGGTTTAGCTTTTTATATTGGCTTCTTTTCTCTTGAAGTCTCACTACTAGAAAATGCTGAAATTGCGACGGAAATTTGCGATGGAAAAAAACCGTCGCAAATTGCGACGAAAATTACTACGAAAAATCAATTATAGCAATTTGAGACGGAAATTGCGATCGTAAAATAATTGCGACCGAATTACGTCCACATTTTGGTCACTATAGAATTAGACACAAATTCCGTCGCATTTCCATCGCAAATTGCGACGAAAATTAATTCGGTTGCAAAAATGAAAAACTTGCGACGAGTGTTTATGACCGAAATTTTTACGACAGGCAAACCAATCGCAAACCTTGGGAGCAAACTTAGCGACGGCTATGAGAGTTAATCCGGTGCAATTTGCGATGGAATTTGCGACGATATTATTAGCGGGCTTTTAATATTTTAAAATTCAAAAATATTGCGTAAATTTGCGACCGAAAATATATTCGTCACAAATTGGGACAAATATTTTCCGTCATAATTTCAAAAATGAAATTTGCGGACTTTAAAATTTTTAAAATTCAAAAATATTTCACAATTGCGACCAAAAATATATCCGTCGCAAATTGTGATGGAAATTTCTGTCACAAATTAAAAAATAAAATTAGCGCACTTTCAAAATTTTGAAATTTAAAAATATTGCGCAACTTTGCAACCGAAAATATATTCGTCACAAATTGCGACAGAATTTACCGTCGTAATTTGAAAACCAAAATTAGCGGGCTTTTAATATTTTGAAATTTAAAAATATTGCGTAAATTTGCGACCGAAAATATATCCGTCACAAGTTGGGACGGAAATTTTTCGTTGCAATTTCGAAAATGAAATTAGCAGCCTTTAAAAATTTTAAAATTCAAAAATATTTCACAAATTTGCGACCGAAAATATATCCGTCGCAAATTGCGATGGAAATTTCCGTCCCAAATTGAAAAAAAAAATTGGAACAGTTTTAAAATTTCAAAATTTCAAAATATTGCGCAAATTTATGACGCAAAATATATCCGTCACAAATTGGGACAGAAATTTCTGTCGCAAAATGTTGTTAAGTACAAAAAATAACTTCACATTTTTCACTTCTCTCATTTCTCTTTCAACTCAATTCTCTTTCAATTTTTTCTACATTTCATGAAAAAAAACATTCATCATTTTACTTTCATCTGCATTTGACTTTACCATTTTCATCTTTCCTTCCATGGCCTCCTTTTCATGGCTTCTCTTCCATAGTTCCCTTCCATCTCCATTTCATAGTTTTAGGTTCTCCAAAATGACTTCAATTTGTTGAATCCACCGGCCGAGCTCGAGAAAAGGAAGCACAAGCTCAAGTGTCTTGTTCCATTCTCAAACTCATTCTTCATGGTAGCCATTGTTATCACCTATCTTTGTTTGTGTTAGAATATTTTTTAATGATATAATCTTTGATATTTTGTTTTTCTTCAAATTTGTTGTAGGATGTAAAATTTCAAGATTGGTTGCTTTAATATGTAAGTCCCATATGAATCCCTATTTATTTCTTTGAGTAAAAATTTAGTTTTTGAATTTTTGTGTGGTGCATTAACATTAAAAATTTATATATGCACAACCATTATCTTCACTCCCAAATGGTTGTGGTTTGTGAAAATTGCCATATCATTTTGCGGTTTCTAATTGGTGGAAGTGCTAAACTAATGAAGCTTGTTTGATGCAATTACTAGAGTCTTTTGTGGATTTTATTATAATTTAAATCTGTAAAATAAATGAATTTTTTTTTTCGTAATTTTGCGACGGTATTTGTGGGACATTCCATCGCAAATTCAGCAGTTGACTGCGATGGTATTTATTATTCTGTCGCAAATTGTGACGGTATGTTAA